TTAAATCGAAAGTTATGGGTCAGAGATGCTCTTCCATGAACGATTGAGCTTCGAGGTCTATAGAGAATTGGATGATTGGGTACTGTTGAGTATAGAAATGAATCGGATGATATGTTCGCATACGGTAAACCGAAGTCAGAAATTGTAAATAGATATCGGTCATGATAAGCGACAAACCAACGTTTTTCTTCAACCCAGAAAGGCGTTCGAAACGAATTCACATACATTTCGCTTTGTAAACGAAATTTAAAACTGAATGAGGACAACGATTGGGTAATCGTTTGCCAATAATATCCAGTAGCCATAGTCATATCAACATCTTGATGCAAGATTTTTACTTCAAAATGAGTTAAATTCGGAAAATTCCGTAAGAATTGTCCAATTTCATTGAGTGACATTGTTACACCTACAAACAGATGTTCCGTTTTACACAGTGGCTCGCGACGCTTTTCGATGAGCGGTTTAAATTCTGATGAAAATATGCTATTTTCGTACTTACCGGCACTTGTTACACTAAGTTGTTTCAATGAATAACATGGTTGACCTCCAGTAAAATCATACAGGTTGCTGAGGGAAAGAGTAACAGATTGAAGTTGAGGAGCATGCTGAAAAATTTTGTTCACATTAGACATTAATGTTCCGGAATTTAGTTTTAAGTGAAGTAGATTTGGAAAACGCATCGTTGTTAATACTTCTGAATAGTTTGTACATAAATATCTAAGTCGAAGAAATATTTCAGCACAAAACTTATGTGAAGAAGAATAGATGTCCATGCGTGATGTTCGTCCATTATCCCTAGAATCAATATGAATTTCTTTCCCGCCGAAGTCATCAAGCGAAATGGCCTGCAATTGTTTCAATTGAGATAAACTAGGTAAAATTTCGCATAATGATTTATAGTTGATTTCAATTAATGAGATCGATCGAAGATTTATAAATTGTTTAATCCGAAAATAAGATAGGAATAATTGTGATTGACCAAGTGTGTCATTTTTGTCAGAAAGTATCAATGAAATGACTTGCTCGGGTGAAATCCATTCACAAATATGATGAAAAGCTGATTTTCTGATGGACCGACAATTGATTCGATATGTGGAATAAGATTTTAAAATTGCATCAATGCGATCGTTAAGATTAGAAAATGAATGAAGAGCTTCATGCGCCCAAAAATATTTCAATACGTCATAAAACAATTCAGTTGGCAAACGATCCAGTTGAGTCATTTTCATATCATTATTACTCCAACTTTGCTGTTTTGTTTTGTGTAAAAGAGAATTTTCGATTGCCTTTTAAAACGTGAAAAGATAACAGTATTTCATTTATCTTAGTTTGTTTTGAGTAATTTGCATGATATAAATTTACGCATTTCTTATGTTCATCTACTTTCGTTTTGTTGGTATACTTTTATGTGAAAGTGATTCGTTACAATACTTCAACATATTCGAACATTATCTATGAACGATGATGTATATATAGACATGCAACGGACCCGAATGTTCGGGTTCGGCATGAAACATAATTTGTTTAGAATTGCTAGATAAAACGAATTCAATGCTTAAAAACATCCCATATCCTGAATAGTAGAGTATAAATGGAAGCAAATCAAGTGAAAAGCTATCGCATGTTGTGTTTTTTTGTTGTCGGAAAAAGTGAACTAATATATGTTTTAAGATAACTTTTTTTTTCTTTTCTTCAGTCTGCTTTTCACCTCGTCTGTGCTAAGGATGTATTTTGAGTTCGACGCCAGAACCAAGTATTGCAGACATATTTTTGTGAACAAAGATCACTAGAACACTGGGAAAAGATGGTGTGTTTATGAGCGATGAGATCTTATCTTTCGCTATCAAAGCCACGCGTTCAACTGATAGCGCAAAATAATTAAGAAAAATATGAAAGTTCACCCTCAAATCATTCGGAAAAAAATTCTTCACTGAATATCTTTATATATCTCGCCTTCATAACTTTCTATTCGTAGAATTTAGTATGAAAAATCTTTCCATTATATTTGTTTAGTGACGTATGATCGCTTGATATACATGAATAGCCCGTATTTCATTTTTCTCGAAGTTTGCATACATGTTTTTTATCCTTGAAAACACACATGACGTCGTGCATGGAGTTGTAATTTTAAATTAATAACAATGTTTCAAGTATTATGCGGAGAAAGTCCAAACGAGATTCATATCTTCATATATAATTATTGTTCTAGAGTGTTGAGTTAGTGCCATCAGATAGAAAAAATATCACATGATGTAAAGAGAAGAAGTGAAACATCGTGAATATTGAAATAGTACACTTCAGCTCATTAGTACATTCACCTTCCCTCATACATCGTTTAACGTGGATGTAATCTCGTCCATTGCTTTGATATGACATGACATCCTACCTAGGAGCGCCGATGTTCACAATGATTATCGTTCTTGTTCTATAGAAGGTACATGAATATTAATTAAAAGTATTCATATCTATGAGCTTTTTTCACTATGATCATTAACATAGACGGTTATTTCTCTGCGAAAAGCTGCTCTTCTTTTACAGATCTCTCTGAGTGAAACTACAGTAATCATGTTATCAAGTATAGCTTTCACTATCATTTCTATAGCAAGTACTAGTTTTACAATTTTGATCACTCTTCCTATTATTATTATCCTCTACATTCGTTTACACCGTGAACGAGTTACTGTGATTCTCCTGTCAACCAATACGTACATGGGCTTACTCACATTTTCTATCATACTTCTGTCGACAAACATTAATGTTCTTCGAGCAGATTTGTCCGAAACGAGCTTGGTAAATACCGGCGGGTTAACTGCGTGTCAGCTTCTAGGTTTTCTTGTCTACGAACGCTTCGGCTGCTGCTATTCAAGTTTTGTTCTTCAAGCACTCTCTCGTTTATTAAAAGTCTTATATCCCAAAGGAACGATTCTTCAGGTATGTATACATAATAATCAGATGTAAGAACAAAATTCTCTTTTTCTTATTTTAGTCATTCACATTCAATCTAGTTTGCATCGTAATACAATGGATTGTATGCTTTCTTCTTCTTCTACCTTCTTACATATGGCGAGATCTATTCTATTCACTTTACGAACTTGATTATTACTGCGGCATACGTTATGAGAGATTATTTTATCTTTGGTATGTCATTTTCAACATATACGTTTTGCCCCTTACTTACATGGCTATGATCTACATTCGACTGATGTATCATATACGTCGCGGAAACTTGCAATTATTGCAAACGCAACGAGGACGAAGTGCACAACGTAACTACGTCGTCATACGTCGTATTTTATGTACTATGACTGTTTTGGCTTTAGCAGGACTACCGAACGTCGGTTTAGCTATCCTAGCATATATCAAGCCGAACTTGTCTGGCTATTATTATATGTACCGAATTCAATGGATGGTTCCAGCAATAACGATGTGTACTATTAGTATAGTACTTGTATTTATTACCCCACAGCTAAAAAAGGTCATCATGAACGCAGAACGTCTAGATAAACAAGTAATGCCTACCTGAAGTCACACCTTTAATTGTGCTTATATAACAACTGTTTTGTCATCTGAAAATAAACTGTGTTCAATATACATGACTTTGCATGAGATAGTGATAAAAAGGATGTCAAAATGAACGCTTCATGTGTATCAGAGACCGGTGGAACGACGATTTTTCCGTCCAGTCCCGCCTGCTACTAAAATTTCTTCGTGACTAATTTTGAATAATTAAATATGAAACCAATACTTTCCATTGTATATCATTGATTTTCTAAGATGGTACCTTACTCTTCATTTTTACGGAAACTTTGTTCCACAAAAGTTTAAATCTCACTAAATCTATCCAGAAGATCTAAAAATCTCTGACTTTGACATGAAGAACTCTTGAGTCAGCTAGTGTACAGAAACATATAGAATGTAAACTGTCAGTAAATGTGGAAGTAAAAGGATTTGCTTTTTCAAAGCAAGCAGCATTGTATAATTCAATGAAAACTCAAATACATAAGAAAAATATCAATAAAACTTCTATTTAATCATACAGTTATACATGTCGTTGACTAAAATACTGGGATATAAGAAAAATCATCCAGCTGTAGTTTTTTTGCATGATTCTTTTCTCACGCTGTTAGTATGTTTACGCTCATCGTGCTCGACTTTAAATAATTTTTCTTTTACACTGGTAAATATATACCCATATAAGTAAGAGAATAAAACTCCTTCTGTGGTATTAAATGACGAAAACGCAATCACATATGGTAATATTCAAACAAGTCTAACTGGAGAGACTGAAGTGAATTTTTAACTACGTTCAGAATGAGAAAACAAAAGACAACGTAATTTTTAAGAACATAGGGCGCATGAAATAGGCGCGACGCATGAGTCCTATAACATTTCATTTTACCTAAGAACGACTTACGAAATATCTATATTATGTTTGACACTAAATGGATAAAATAATCTGATTCTGTTGCGTAGCGCATGTGTTTGATTCGAGACGAAAGAGTGGATGAAGATTTTTGGAAGCCAGTGGCAGAGTCAAAATACAGTTATAAGAAGATTTTATTCTTTCTTTTTGTAGAACAATGGCAAATAAATACTAAACTGCATCAGTAAAATATATGATTCTGTATTAGAGATCACACATAATGAAGTAGATTATTCATATTAATATTCCACAAAAAATACTGCTTTGAATACCGTTTTACGTCTTTCTTGCAGTTGATATTACTAAGGTAGAAAGAGAATAAAATATTGATCGCGGGACAAAACCGCCGATCTCTGATCTGTATGAAAATCGACTTTACTTTTGTTATTTACTTACATTTATTCAAAACATGTGGGTTGTTATTTATGTAGTGAATGAGTCATTCACTATTTCGCATTATACTCTTACATAAATCGATGATGTTATTGCGCATATCAATGTAAATATAAGTCGAACACATCTTATACCGTCTATTCATATTAGATTTCTCGCGTATATGGCTGCACAATCAGTAAAATTAACTTCATTTGTTTATGAGGATTTAATTCGGCAAATTCAATTCATTCAAACTCATGTAATTCAGTTGACGAACTATCTAAACGATCGATGTCAAACGGATTTAAAATCACGATCATTCTCTTTTAGTGATCCATTCGGAAACGAAATCACTCAGAAGTTTATGGATCATGAAATCATCGACATTATCTTTAAAAAATATGTCACAGAATATATACCAAAACATTTACGACCATTTATCAAAATTGGGAAAATGTACCATGGTCACATCCAGCTGATGCATGAACATGAGCTCAAATTTAATGCATCGCAATTTCGTGATGGCTTCCAGTTTATTGCGTGTTGTGAAATAACTATTTGGGTGGGTGATTACGAAAGTTCAATATATAGACAAGTGGTAATGCCAGTGCGTTTGTTGGATAGTATTGAAAGTGTTAATAACGGCTTGAAGATTCCACCGAAAATTACAAATGTTGAATTTAAGTCATTAAGAAACGATCGAAATATGAAACCGACGAGAGATAATTGGGATCAAGGTAAACCACTCGTGTCTTCGGATACAATTGGTTCGTCTCAATTATATCAAAACGATACAATTCTAATGGCAAAATTGATACAACCACATGCAGATTCTGCACATTCCAGTCCTA